TGAACCCAGCTATTTGTCTAAAATAAATTCAGGAAGTTTCTCTCCAGAGGTTTTCCACTAGAACACTGCATGTTTTAGACCAACAAGCCTCCAGACCACTACAAAAAAACCCAAACACCCTTGGAAAAAGGTACCTTCTCATAAAGTTTAAAAAGTACAAGAGAAAAGAGGAAGTAACCCTTAAAAACATTAGTTATATATAGAAGTTCTTTGATGCATCAGACGAACTAGTTAGACCAACACTGCTGAAGAGAATCACCAGACCACCTTCTTCTGCAGTCAACTATCATCGCAATGAATTTCATAGCAAAATCTTCACATTTACTAGTCAAATAACTACAAGATTAGTAGGAGACAATTAAAAGATAGTTCACAAAAATCAAGTTTTGGAACCACAGAATCAGGCTGAATAAGTACACAAGACAGGTAAGTGACATTGTTTTACACCTTGTCCTACTCATCCTGCATGACCATAGGTGAAGCTACTCTAGTCATATCAGTTTGACAGCATCCCTTCTCAAGTCTTTCACTGAAAGACACATAAGAAGCATGCACTCTTCAGAATTTAAGTTTGGATTTTTGTCAGTATTGGCAAGATAGATAAATTTTACTTCCCACTGATTCATGGGGTTCAAGTATAGAGTTATTTCTCATCTCTTCACTCTTAACTATGAAAGCAGTCCAGTCCATAGCAAAACATTAAGCAACTTAAAACATTATCAGTTTAAAGCTCCCTTTCATTCAAAAATTAGTTTTCCTTCAGCTTTGTTTCATTTCACCAACCATTCAGCATATTTAACTCCAATACTTCAACTGTGATCCCCATCTATCTACTGCAGACAACAAAAACAACTTATCCTCTAGCGGGCTTCCTACTGCTATGGACTAGCATGGACCAAGTACTTCACAACAACCAAAGAGCTGGTAGAACCAAACTAATCAAGCAGAAAGACTGCTAACAAAGTTCTTCTAAAAAAGTAATGGGCCTAACTTTCCCACAGAGCAGCAATACAAATGAACCCTCATCAAGCAGAATGATCACTTAATACCAAGAATGCTCCAGCAACGTGCTCTTTGAGGCAAAGTGAGGTCTACTAGTGTAACACAGCACAACTCTGATCCCAGTTTCCACTGCAAGACTTCCCTTTACAGAGTACGTAACACTCCAAAATGAAAGAACAATCTTTTTCAAGGCATCTCCTCTGTGCAGAGAATCATGCCATTTACAGCTTGTCAAGAAGTTTAGCTACAGCTTATTGCTGCAAGATTGACCTCATCTTCTCAGGCTTTTATGTTGTGCTCTCACATCACCAGTAGTCGTCTACTCTGCTACTGATGAGCAACTTCATCTTCCTGGTTCTGCTACACCTGACTGAATGTGCTGGTAGATGCAAATTAATTATATAAACTCCATGGCTGAGTTTCTTCTGCTGTGAAG